AATATCTACACTGCTAGTGCCCTAGGAAATTTTTCTGGTCAAAATTTTACGAATCTTTAATGAAACAATGATAAAAACGATTTTTTAATCAAACATAAGTACATAAAAATAAATGTATCAATTTTAATAGTCAATTCTCTTTCGACGTTCCTTCCTGAACATCTTGATCATCATTTTGGTACCAGTCGTACTTTTTTTAACTATGAATTTCCTTCAGAAGTTGTGGTTTACTCTTTAAGAACTGAAACATTTCATTACACGAAACTTTGAAGTTTGTGTAGACTTACATGATGGCTTAAAAAGTAGATATTTTCAACTGCGATTTGTTGGGACTCCAATAGTTATTGATATTTGAGAACAACCGCTCAATCGACGCACTGGTCCCGACAGACAAAAAACAAACTCACATAGAATTTTGAGATTTTTCAAAGTTCTTTTTTTTTTTAAGATTTCGAGCCATCGATCTTCGGTAGAAATATTTTTCAAATTCCAGTCTGTGATTTTATTTTCTGTAACGTAGGTTCGTATTAGACTAACTTCATCACTTCATCAAACAGTTCGTCCTGATTCAATATCGGACCTACGTAGTCTTTGAAAGCCTCACACGACGATAAAATTTCAGCCCAAGAAACTTGTTTTTTTAAGTTAACTCATCCAAATAGCTTTAGTTCACTTAAATTTTCACTTCAGTTTTTCAAATATGTTGAATTTGAATTCACGCAATTTGAATAGAACTGCTTGACATGCGTGATAGAGATATCCCGATAGTTCACACTAAGGTCAAGGTCTTCCAAATTTTCAAGTTTTGAAAGGGACTCTCTTATTTTAAGCGGTAAAAATAACTTATTTAAGCGATTTTGAAGCTTATTTATAAGTTCAAAATACTCCAAAGCGGCTTCCATTTCGCTTATTTTGTTACCTTCTACATCTAAAATCACTTTGTGGAAGAGAGACGCAATATTATGCACAAACCACATCCATGCTTCACTGATTGGGTTTTGAAAAAACTGTTTTAGAACTGTTGGACAATTATCAATCGACAAAAAATATGCTTTCAAGGGTTCGAACATTTGTACAATTGGTTCAGTGGCTGGCATTAGGCTCAAAAATCTTGTTTTTGGAAACGACAATATTTTTTGTACTCTATATCAACAAAATCGCAAAACTGTTTTAATTTCTCCACTCTGACTGTAAAAATATAGAAATACTTAAAAATCTTGACCGCAGTAACCTCGATGTCTATGGGTGAGTCGCATTTTGTAAACAGTTATTAAAAATGTGTTCCAGACAAAAAATTCCAATCACGGGTTTACCACGAGAAGCATTTAATTTGCTGAATAGATTATTCACTCCTTTTTTCTGATTCCACCAAAATTTGTATTTGTATTTTCAGTAGACATTCCGATGAATTTTTGTAGTAAATTATGGTGGTTCAAAACATTGACCACGTAATCTTTTAACTTCTCTGATGTTTCACCAGGTAAGTCACGTAGCTGAAGTAATTTTACTTGGACACCATTTTCTCCATCAAAATATCTTACCATTAAGGGTACAACTTTAATTTCTCTATGAATCGACGCATCGATTGTGATGCTGACGAAATTTGCTTTTCGAAAGTCAATTTCTAATTGGGATTGAGCCTCTTGAGCTAAAACATTTTTTACGATCGCCTCAGTCTTGGTTCAAGCTGCCGCAAATTTAGGTTTAAACATGCTTACCATTAGTTTTGACGTGCAGTGTAAGGATCTGAAACTTTGCAAATGCTTAATTTTATGGTAAGCAAAAGTATCTTCCTTGGCAGCAATCAACATATTTTCAGAACTTAAATTTTCTTTTTTAACAAAGGTTTCCATTTGCTACTCTTCGAGTTCGCATTAGTAGCCATCATGTATTTTTTCTTTAACAAATGTTTCTTTGGCAAATCAACATCACTTTTACAAACTTGGCAAAAAACAATATGCTGTGAAACATTTGATTTTTGATTTATAAAAGGATGCAACTCGACGTTAAAATGGCATTTTCTTCTAGGCGGTGATATAATGAAATTGTTTATTTTTCCACACAGCACAAAATAATATAAACAACGATGAAAAGTGTTGGTAAAAAGTAATCAACAGTGAGCACATCAATTCGAATCATAATTATATTTTGTTTGGACAAAAAGTAGGACTTCATTTTGTGTAATTAGGAAAAAGAGTACATTTAGGTGTACTTCATAAATTTTAAAGTACAATAGGACAGCGTTTAAAAAGAAAGTACTGTCCTACTAAAAAAAGTACATATGGTCACCCTAGGTATATCAAAAACTGGGTAAGAAATAGAAGAGTAGAATGAAATGATCATATAAGCCGAATGACAACAAATAGAGTAATAAAGACGGCAAGAGACCCCCCCCCCCAATAGGAAGACGATCAGTAGAAAGACCACGAAAACGATGGAATGACAACTTACTGGAGGCACATTGAAAAACAGACAGTCATGTCTATATAAAAAGAAGAAGACGAAGAAGAAGACATATATCGGAATGAGGACAACGTCGCCTTTTTTGAGAAATAGGTTCGTTTCGTCGGTTTTTATTAGCTGCGAATGTAGTTGGTTAATAATTGTATCCATTTCATCACGAAATTTTTGCATTAATGATTTTTTACGTAATGATAAATAATGTATATAGATAATGCATTGATAATAAAAAAAAGGATAGTAAAACAAAAGTATTTTTAGTAATCAATATATTTTTCAGAGCCAGTGCCATGGCCCTTTAGAACCAGCCGCCACTGATTCACCTTGAAACAAATCGTGGGAATATGAAATTGACTTACACAACATATACATAGATTTTAAATAGGCCTACGACTCAATTAATAGACACAAGTTACTGTAATGGTAATAATGGAATAACTCATTACCACTATACTAACTCTTTCGTTTAAGTGTATAAATTCCTGTAAAGGCGGCTCTAAAGTCGGTTTGGGTTCTTTCGTGTCTCAACTTTCTTTTTGATTACTTATATTGCTAGCGTTTGCTGCTTCATTCCATACTTTATTCATAGGATGTGAAAAATTTATCTTTAATAAACTTATTTTTTTTGAACCTATTCTCTATCCTTCCATTGTTGGATATAGGTCTACCCCAGTTCTCTCCATCTTTCCCTATCTTGAGCTGTTCTCTGCCATGTGGGACCTCCTTGTTCCTGATGTCATCTTTCCACCTCATCTGTGGTCTGCCTCTTGATCTCATTGCATTGTATGGACGCCACTTTCCGATGGCATTGTTCCATCGTCCGTCTTGGAGACGTTCATTGTGTCCAGCCTATTTCCATTTCAGTTTTGCTGCTTGTTCTATCGCGTCTACTGTCTTTGTTCTGGTTCTGATCCACTGGTAACGTTTTCTATCTTTAAGTGATATACCCAACATTTGTCTCTCCATCGCTCTTGTGCCTTTCTTATCCTATCCAAATTGATCTGTGTAAATGTCCATGTCTGTGCTCCGTAGGTGAGCACCAGTATTATACAAGAGTTATATACCTTGCTTCGTATAGAGGGATTGTTTGATTTTTTAGAACGTAAGAAAGTTTGCCGAACGCTGCCATCCCATTCTTACTCGTCTCGATATTTCGGCTGTTTGATTTTCTCTGTTAGCTCTGATTGCTTATCCTAGATAGATATACTCATGTACCTGTTCTATTTTTTCTGTTTGTATTTTTATTGCCTCTTGGTCTTCCGTGTTTGTCATTACTTTTGTTTTGTTGAAGTTAATTTTTAGGCCTTTTTGCAGTGATTTTTCATGAAGTTCATTCAGAATTAATTCTGATTCTTGTCGTTTCGAGGAGATCAGGAGTATATCATCCGCATATCTAAGGTGATTTAGGTACTTTCCGTTAATACATATTCCTCTGTTTTCCCAATCTGTTAATTTTATTATATCTTCGAGGGTCAAGGTAAACAGTTTAGGTGAAATTATATCGCCTTGTCGGACTCCTCGTTTAACTTTTATATTATCCGTTATTAATTTGTCGTCCAGAATTACGGTCATGGTTGCGTTTTGGTAAATATCATGTATCAATTGTCGGTATCTTGAATCTATGCTACTATTGACCAGAGCTTCTTCCACCGCCCAATGTTCAATGCTGTCGAAAGCCTTTTCATAATCTACGAATGTTAAGTACAGCGGAAGGTTGTATTCATTGGTTTTCTCAATTAAGATTTTAAGCGCATGTAGATGGTCGATTGTGCTGTATCCTTTCCTGAATCCGGCCTGTTCCACTGGTTGGTAGTTATCAAATTTATAGTTTAGTCGGTTGTTTATTATTCTTGTGAAGGTTTTATATAGTTGTGACAAAAGGGAAATAGGACGGTAGTTGTTTAGGTCTGTTCGTTCTCCTTTCTTATGTATTAAGATTGTGTTGGCATTTCTCCATTATTAAGGTATTTTACCTTCAAACATACATTTGTTGAACAGTATTTTTAGCATTTTTTTATCGTCTCCTCCTTCTTTTAGCAGTTCCGCCAGTATTTTGTCCTCACAGGCCTCTTTATTTCTTTTCATGTCGTTTATGGATTTTTCGATTTCATCTTCAGTTATTTCTGGTAATACCTCTTAAAAAATAAACTTATAAAACTTGTTAATTAGTGCAGTGATTATTATTATTATAACCCATGAAAATATATAAAGAAATATAATTATGAAAACTTAACTTAGTTATAAAGACATACAAAATCATGATGAAGTTACTAATCAACAAAAATTAGTTGCAGAAGTAAAGCTTTTTTTCTCAACATTTTTCCACAAATAAATTATTCATAAAATGTTCAGGACTACGAATAGTCACTTCCAAAGTTAAATAACCCTTAATAGTCAGTTGTCACGTTGGCATTGGTGGGAGTGTCTGAGGTACTTCTATTTGAACCAATTAAAAACTACTATATACTCGTGACCTGCACAAGCACACACCTTCGAAATCAATGATCTTATTGGTTAATATCATCAATGACATTTACGTTTATAGACGTCAAACTGTAACCTCACTATTTTAAAAAATGACAACACATGGAGGATTGCGAACCCTGTAAACGCAGAGAAATGTCTTCAGGACATGGTAATCAAGAACTTACAGATCCTGTGGAGGAAATGTTAAAAAAGACCGGTTGTATTAACCTGCATTACAAAGTACAGGTACACATTTTCTAAAATTAAATACAACTGCTTCTAAAAATGGTTTTACACTAATTATGTAGAACAGTAAGCTTTAGTAATTTTGATTTATTTTCTCACTCATCATCTATATTGCCCATAATCTCTTCCATCTAACGTAATCTTTTCTTCATGTTGTTTCTTTCCATTAATTCAAAAAAAAATCAAATTTATTAAAAGTAAAAAAAAATATGATTTTAGGACTGCATATCAGAAACTAAAGATTGGAGACAGTGTCAAAGTCAAGTAATTGAGTTCAGGAAGTGTATGCAACAACATCAAGAATCAAGAAGTAAAAGTGGCTCCCAAAATACCTAACATTTTTTTGTGTTTTAGTTTTCTGAAAAAACTTGTTTTAAACATGTTTAAGTCCTTAATATCTAGTCTTCAACCAACAAAAATGGTAATAATATTACGAACTGATATTAACATGGGAAGGGGCAAGTTAGCATCCCAGGCAGCTCATGCTGCTGTATTACTATATCAGTCATCAATAGAAAGTAATAATTCACATTTAAAATTGTGGTTAGTAACAGGACAACCCAAGATAGTTTTAAAAGTAGAGACAAACTGTGAAGATGTGCTTAAAGATATTTACCAAAAAGCGAAGAATATGAATTTAAACACATGCATGGTTAGAGATGCAGGGAGAACTCAAGTAGATGTAGGGTGCTTAACTGCTGTTGGTATAGGACCCAATAAAAAATCGGACATTGATGAAATTACAAGTAGTTTTAAATTATTGTAAATATTTATATAGTAAAGTTGTTAATATTGTTTCTGTTGTGTTCTTATGTTGTGTCTTTACACAATTTATCTCTACTGTTTTTTTTTTTAACTAGAAGTATGATAATTGTGATCAGTATAATACAAAGGAAGAATAGGAATATATATCTGATTTCTGAATCTATTTCCTGGTGATATCCAAGTGTATAGTCATCTTGGAGGACGTTAAAAGCCTGTATTAATAGGAAAGAGGTTGTTTTTTATTCAAAAGTATAGCAACGTTCTCCTCTATCATATCCATATAATACAACAGTCTCTTGCAGAATGATCTGTAGTTACACCAATTTTAGTGTCGAAATCTCCTCTGCTATGATTTCCTTTTTTTGGAAGCTTCCTAAGCATCTACTCCAATGTGCTGTAAAATATTTCGATGTCTTCATTGTGCGCTTCGCTGATTGGTGCTATATGTTTGTACTACATTAAGATTAACTGGACTGGCATTTGGTCTGACAACAATTATCCCATCACTGCTATGTATTCTTTGTTATGGTGCTTTTAATAGCATTATTTACTATCACTGCCACGCCATTCTGAGATTATTTATCATTATCAGAGAAGTAAACATCATATGTAAAAAATGTCCTTCCAGTGGGTTTCAGATAGAGCTACAATGGGATACTTTATTATCTAGTTTTCCACTACATCCAATTTTTCGGGTTCCAACAATCCTCAAACATTACCAATTGTAATGGTAAAGTAATTCCTCATCTGCGGACGAGAATATGATATTATTTTTATATACTTTTTATAATTTGACCAGTTGCGTTAAATTACTTGATACTATTGTGATACTCCACTGGCGCTTGTTCCTAGTAGTAATACATTCGTTTTAAGCAATATACTGTGGTACTACTACAGCAATTAGTTTATAGCTCGGATGGTTTAAAATACCAGCGAATGTAGATGCTGATCTCGGCGTCTTTATTTTTGTTGATATGATAATACTATTTCACAGATATGCAATTACATATTTTGTACTTCTACAGTTCTCGTTTTAACGTCGAACATTACATAGGTTTGATACTGAAAAAAGGTCTTCGTCTGAAAGGAATAGTAAAGATTTTGTTAAAATGAGATGAGTTTAGATAAAAAAATTCAGTTGTTAGACTGTTTAACTACAGGAGAATTATTTGTAAGTGCCGCAAAGAAGTTTAAAGTGAATGAGTCTACTGTAAGGATTATTAAAAATAGTGAGACAACCATCCGTTTCTGTGTTTTGCATGGCACTAGTTCAAGCAACAAAGTAACTTGTTTTTCGCGATCTCAAACCTTGGAAAAAGCACTGGCCATTTGGATCGAAGGTCAAACAAAAAAGAGAGTGCCAATTAGCACACGAATAATACAAGGAAAGGCTCTTCGTCTTTACGAAAATCTAATGGCTGACAACGAATCTTCTAGTTTCCAAGCGAGTAAAGGATGGTTCGAAAGATTTTAAAAAGAGTTTCTTTACATAACGTCAAAATCGTGGGAGAATCAGCTTCAGCGGACCAAGGCGCGACCAACCAGTATCCAGCTAAACTTATAAAAAGGGAGGGGTATATATCACATCCGAAAATGAGAAATCTACACCAGGCTTTAAAGCACTGCCGGTATTTGGGAGGGCAAATAGAAAAGCGTGGGTTACGGCAGCATTGTTTACGGACTGGTTTACTAACTGTTTTGTGTCTAGCGTTAAGCAATATCAAAATCGCTACTGTTTAAAGCACTTCTTATCGACAATGCTACTGATCATCCAGATTCTCTCCAGAGAATCCAGAATAGATTCACAAGTGAGAATTGACTTTTTACCTCCCAACACCACTTTACTTTTACAGCCTTTGGAGCAGGGAATAATAGCTGCATTTAAACGGTATTACCTAAGCGTAAATTCAGCCGTATCTTCAATTGTATGGAATTAGATCCTTCATTGGCCATTACCGATTGTTGGAGACAATTTAATATTTCTCACTGTATGTATAACTATAATCAAAGAACAACAAACAACACCAATATCTTGGTGCCAACCCCTTAGAGGGCCTCAACCTTCTCAAGCTTTCTACGCCATTCTGTTTAGTCCCTTGCTTGCATTTTCCAGTTGCCGACTCCGATCTTCTCGGCATCTTGTGTTACCCCGTCCATCCACCTCAGCTTTGGTCTACCCCGTCTTCTCATTCCCACGGGTTGCGCTGTTAGAATCTTTTTTATCATGTTCGATTCAGGAGCACGGACTACATGTCCTGCCCACTGCAGGCGGTTTCGCTTAATTATAGTGGTAATATCTTTACCACCAAACGTAAGCTTGTACTTATTCTGCTGTTTAAAGTTATATCTACGCCTCCATATTCCGTTCTCACAGAACGCTCCGAATATCTTGCGTAGAACGTTTCTTTCAAAAATCGACAGAGCGGATTCATCTGTTTTAAGAAGAGAAATAATATGATTTCTGAGGTGAGGTGAGGCTGAATATGAGGTGCTATGTTCTTCCAGTGTTACTATATGGAGTTGAAGCCTGGACACTGACGCAAGCCACTGAAAAACGAATCGAAGCCTTCGAGATGTGGATATACAGAAGGATACTAAAATATCTTATGTGGACCATGTCACCAACGTTGGGGTCCTACAGCGCATGACAAAAGAAAAAGAAGTGCTTAATTTAATTAAACAACGTAAGCTTGAGTACCTCGGCCACGTGATGCGAAACGAAGAAAAATATCGAATTCTTCAACTCGTTATGCAGGGTAAAGTATTTGGCAGAAGAGTACCGGGACGCCGTCGTATCTCGCGGTTGAAAAATCTCCGACAATGGTTTGGGATGACCTCAGCGGAGCTGTTTCACAGAGCAGTCAACAAAACCATGATAGCCTTGATGATCGCCAACATCCGGACCATATAAGGCACTGAAGAAGAAGAAGAAGAATAGTTATTTTGATAACTATTGTCTACGACGGGAATAGATTTTGTTTCGATTCAGGGTAGTGGCTATACCGCTCTAATTAGACTTAAAGAGGTAGAAATACATATAAGCGGCTTGCCGCTGCTCTGTATCGAAACAAAAATCTAGTACCGTCATTATGTTTCATCTGTTTTAGTTAGCGTCCATGCCTCTGATCCATATGTGAGAACAAGAAGTATCAGTGTTCTGTACAGCCTTATACGAGTTTTTTGAGACAGACGTTTGTTAGCTAAGTACTTTGATAGACCATGATAACACCTGTTTGCAATTATTATTCGCCTTTTTATTTACTCAGATGTGTTATTATTGGGGTTAACCGATATCCCTAGATATATAAATTCTTTGACTGCTTCGAAGTTTTGGTCATTGATGATTAAATGTGCGTCAACATTTCTAGCTCTTGTGTTTGTGATAGTCGCCATGAATTTGGTTTTATTTTGATTTATATGTAACCCCATTCGTTCTGCTGTTGCTACTAGCTCGGTTAGAATTTCCGCAGTTCTCGCCCTGGTTCTTGTTATAATGTCCACGTCGTCTGTATATGCTATAATTTGGACTGATCTATTAATTATTGTTCCCCTGCTATCTAACTTAGCGTCTCGTACAACTTTTTCTAAGGCGACATTAAAAAGCTGACACGCCAGCGCATCTCCCTGCCTTAACCCCCTTTGTATTTCAAATGGGATTGACGAGTCGGTTTGAATTTTTACTGCTGCTAGCATCTTCGCCATTGTCACTTTTATGAAACATATGAGTTTTTTTGGAATTCCTAACTCATTCATAGCGTTATAAAGACTTGGTCTTAAGACACTGTCATATACCGCTTTAAAATCGACAAAATATGATACATATCTATGTTAAACTCTTGCGCTTTTTCGATGATCTGTCGTAGTGTGAACATCTGGTTAATGGTTGAACGTCCACGCCTGAATCCTGCATGATATTCTCCTAGAAATTTTTCGGTATAAAGCTTCAATCTCTCGTGTAAAATGTTTAGACAATATCTTGTATGCTGTATTTAGGAGTTATTCCGAGGTAATTATTGCATTCCAGTTGGTTTCCCTTTTTGTGTAATGGGCAAATTAAGCCTAAGCTCCATTCTTCAGGCATTTGCTCCTTAAACCAAATTATACAAACAATTCTTCGCATCACCTTGGTGAGCTGCTCTCTACCATGTTTAAATAACTCTGCTATGATGCCATCACTGCCTGGGGATTTCTGGTTCATTAGTTTTTCTATAGATATTTTCACTTCATCTACCGAGGGGGTTCCACGAGTTCCTCGTTTCGGTATTCCAGCTCTATATTGTTAGTAGGTTCCCCTTCCAGCAACTCTCGAAAGTGCTCTACTCATCTAAACAGAATATCCTCTTTGTTGGTAGGTTACCTTCCTTATCATTACAATAGTTGATTCTCGGTTTGAATTCTTTTCTAATAATATATATTTGATGGTAGAACTTTCTTGTTTTTCCGTGACTCATATTTCTTTCGAACCGTTCTAATATGTCATTTTCCGAGTCTCGTTTCTTTTTTCGGTGTATGCGTTTTTCGTCTCTCCTTAAGTTGTTGTATCTATCTATTGTTGTCCTAGTTTTTTGTTGTTGCATGGTCCTAAATGTCTCGTTCTTTTCATCTGTTATTTTTCTGCAGTCGTGTCTTTCTTGGGTTCGGGATATTCCCAATGTGGTTTCGGCTGTTAATTTCAGAGCATCCTTGCAATTGTTCCACATTTCTGTGCTTGACTGGTCGACTGACCAGGTGTGTTCTAGAGTTTCTTTTATATGTGACTGGAACCGTTTCTCTTTGTTTTCATTTTTTAGCATATGTAAATTATATTTTACTTGTATAGTGCCTCATTCTTTCTTGGCATTGGAAATTCTTTCTTGTAACTTGGCCACTACCATGAAATGGTCTGAGTCAATATTTGCGCCTATGTATAATCAAAGAAGCCACCGATGAAATATGTCCATCAACTATCAACGCGTGTTGGAAAAATCTATGGGCAGAATTTGTTATTGTAACCTCAGAAGTGTCCCATAAAATAAGGAAGTCGATGATAT